GGGAGGTGGTGGATTCACCATCCCTGGAGGTTTTCAGGATGAGACTGGATGTGGCCCTTAGTGCCATGGTCTAGTAACCACAGTAGGGTTGGACTTGGTGGAGGTCTTTTCCAACCTGGCTGACTCTATGATTCTGTTTGTGCCAGGCCCACTTAGAAAAAGAAATAATGCAAATACCTTTTTTTCTTCTGCCTCCCTCATGGCCTTCAGCAGTTCAGCTTCCTTCACCCTGTTGTCATGCAGAAGTTTGGCTATCTCTTCGTAACGCCTCTCGTGGTCCTGGTCATCGTGCCTTAGTCTATGCAGCACTTGCAACCTCCACTCAGTGTCAATGAGCTTCTGCTCTGCTTTGGCTAAATTGTCTTCAGCCACCTGACAAAACACCTTTCTTACCAGCAATCCATTTAGTCTATTCCCACTGCACAGCCTGACCTACAGACGAGGTGGGACAAACTGAGGTGTTCCTCAGCATTGTTGTTAGATGTCCATGCCTCAGTGGTGCCACCCATTTACAGGTGCAACTGACATAAGATTGATACCTGAATGCCAATACTTTCACCCACATCCATCTGCTTCCAAAAATCGAATGCTGTTTACAAAACTGCAGACCCATATGTTTATTTCTACACAAAACACAAATGCAGATCCCAAGCATATGGGCAGTGGGATAGCTGCGACTATTTTTCCAACTGTGCAGTTACAAGTTCTGAGCTCAAAAATCTGAACAATTCCTAATGTCAAACTACACACATTCATTACTGTGGTCTAGAAGACAGCTTCTGCAGCTGAATTTCCTGCCAAGTACTGCCAACTGAGAGCTCCTCTGAGGCTTACTTTCATCTTATTATGGTTACAAACAAAACATGTTCCTCAACAGGAGGATGACTTATTTTGAAAAGCACTTTTGAGTCTCACAGTTTTGAGAAGTAAAAAAATGTTACTATTCCTGGCAGGTCCAGAGAATTTCAGTATTATATAGCTGTTTGGACACTTCAGTCAAGATTTTTGAAAACCTCCAAACTTTAAATATAGCATCTTAATCTATTAGTACAGGTATCTAGAAATTAGATGTCATTAGAAAATATTTCCATTTTCACCTGAACTAATTAGTTGCAATCAAAATACTATTAACTTGTACTGCTTGTTCTAGTTAGCACACTGACTCCCCAAAACATAATTAGTTGCAATCAAAATACTATTAACATGTACTGCTTGTTCTAGTTAGCAGACTGACTCCCCAAAACACGTTATGATCCAATCATCTTACTATCTGAGCTTTCTCTTTTTCTTCTCTATCTATTTCCATCAATCTCTGAACACGACGATCTTCCAGATCCACCTTTCTTTGATGGGCATCCACCTCTTTGTTCATTTCCTTTGTCACTGCCACTTGATCTTTGATGAGATGCTGCCAAACACACACACAAATTATTGTTGCTAAGCTACTAGCCCACAGTTGTAAGTCTGTCTCTTTAACATTTATTAAAATTTCATTAAACTAGAATTTGAATATATCTACACATTTCATCCCACCACATATCAAAACTATCCAAGAAAGTGATAGTCCCAGCTGTTCTATCCACTTGGAATTACATTAAGGCTGAGTGATGACAGTGGTCTCGCAGACTGGTACTGATATAACTCCATTCTGTACTTTTATGGCAAATTTTAGCCAAACCCTCAAAATGTTTCACATCTATAAATTGTGTTTCACGGTACTGAGACTTGTAATAAACACATCTGCAGCTTAAATGCAGAAGTGATTTGCCAAAGTAGTACAAACCAGCAGCAGATATAGAAACAGCATTTTAACTATCACCACCTTTCTTTACATTCAGCAGGGCACAGCCACACAGCTTTCTGGAGAAGACATAGCCCCTTCCCAGGCCTGTGGGAATCCGCTGAGCAACTGAAGCAAAGTTGACATCATAGAATCACAGAATCACAGAATTTAGGGGTTGGAATACAGATCATCTAGTCCCAACCCCCCCCTGCCATGGGCAGGGACACCTCCTCACTAGATCAGGCTGCTCAAGGCCTCATCCAGCCTGGCCTTGAACACTGCCAGGGTCGGGGCAGCCACCACGTCCTTGGGCAACCTGTTCCAATGTCTCACCACCCTTACAGTAAAAAACTTTCTTGTCACGTATGTGACCTTCTAAGCTGGAATACAGCCCCTCACTGATGGCACCGACACAGTTCTGGGCATGGCTGGGAAAGCCTCTCTGCACAGACTCTTGTGGGCAGACATGTATCCTCAGCTAGTTAAGTAATTGCTACCTTTCTAGCCTAAAGAGGAATTAGTTCCCTTAAAGAACTGACTTTACATGCACTGGAACACAAATGAGCTTAGCCTGGTTTGTGTTATGTAGCCACAACACAGCTGGCTGTGTATTCAATAAATAAATGCGAACAGAAATTCAGCCCAGTTATGCTCAGCATGGGTGATAAACAGTATATGGCCAAAAGCTTTAAAAAGAGCTTTAAAAAAAGAAATATAAGCAGACATATTTCAGAATAAGGATAGGGCACAGACTCAAGCTCTGCCAGGGGAGGTTTAGGTTAGATATTAGGAGGAGATTTTTTACAGAGAGAGTAGTCAGGCATTGGAATGGGCTGCCTGGGAAGGTGGTGGCCTGGAGGTTTTCAAGCTGAGACTGGATGTGGCAGTTAGTGCCATGGTCTAGTAACCATGGTAGGGTTGGACTTGATCTTGGAGGTCTGTTCCAACCCAGCTGATTCCATGATTCTATGATTAGATAGCTGGATGTTCACTTCTGCTTCATTCCACTGGATCTGCACACATGCAAGATGGGCACATGCAGCTGTGATTTCTAAACACTTAACTTACTATGTCTGACCAAAATGAACATTTCCAGAGCCTCCCATCGGCAGCGCTGCTCTTCGGTGACTTGTAATAATTAACCCATATTTAAGCAGACTAAAGCCCTTTAATACTGAACATCAAATTTTCTGAAGTCTATCATTCCAGAAAGGAACTGCACATTCCTGATGAAACACCCATTCCTTTCTGCTTAATGATGTTGTTGGCAACTAGACATTTTTTCAGCAGCTACATCAATCTGCTATACTATTGTCTCCAGAAAATGTAGATATATCTGGATATCACAGATGAAGAGGTGGGAATGTCTGAGATAAGGAACACATTTTTAGAGACTCATTTCTTATTTACACATTCCTTGCTTCTCTCAAGCATCTGAGTACAACAGCTAAGCCCTGCAGCAACCAAATGATACCTCTGCACAGGAGATGAATAAAATAGGGAGGATATGAGTACTTCTGCTCCCAAAAAACCCAGATAATAATGAGAACTGCAAATGCTTTTATCAACAGAGGATTTATTCTAAAAAAAGGTATTAAAGAGGAAAGGGGGAAAAAAAAGGGCCCCTTTTTCCTCACAAAATCTGGTCGAATGAACACAATCAAATCCAAGAACTTCAAAGGAAGAATCATCTAATATAAACATCTGTACAGCTCCCTAACAATTACCTGCTCAAACAGTTGTCTTTGTGATTCAAGTTCCAACCGTTGTACTTCTATATCTTGAACAGTAGCAGCCGTTTCCTGCTCTCTCAGGGATGCCTTGAGGAGAAGAGAAACACATGAAAATACAGTAAAGAAACTCTTCTCCCTTAAGAAAACATTATCAAGAAGAATGTCCAAACTCCAGTTCTAGTTAACTTCCTGTCATACCATGAACAATGGAAAATATTGCATATCAAAAGCACTGGCTAAGGTGGAGAAGAGGCATAGGAAAATTTTTGTATCCAGCCAAGCATGTTAGGGAAATGTCAGGCTTGAACTAGTGCTAATAACCTGCCAGATGCAGCTTTGAATCATATAAGAAGTGTCTGAAGCCAGAACACTGTGGAGGACAGCACACAGGTGGGGAATTGGCCACTTGGCACCTGGCAGAACCTGCGCTGAGCTGGAGCTAATGAATGTTGCAGTGCTCTGACTGTGGAAACAATCACAGAGCTGCACTGTGCTCTGCAATGTGTGGTGCTGAGACACAAAGAATAGCCCTGTAGACTTGATTTGTGCCCATGAGATTCAGAACTTCCACTCTCAGCATGTGCATGCCATGGTGCCCAAGCTGGTAACATGGAAGCAGAGCCAGGCCTGGCCAGAGGCCACTGTGGAGCCTCTCAATCAATGGCAGAGTTCATTTGCATGTGGACATACAGTCCACGGAGAGCTGAGAATTCACTAGTCCTTAAAGGAGCTCACTACATTTTCCAACACTGCCAGTAACCAGATGACTCTGGCTTTTCTCAGAGTTTTGCCAGTTAAAGGAAGCCAGTGGAACACACCAAGTGCCAAACAAAACTGTTACATTATGCATTTAGCAGTCCATCTCATGCTAAACACACAATGCACCTCTGGGCTCACAAATCACAGTGTATCAACTAAAAATTTAGTTACGCATGTTTTCCTTGTTTATTTTCATTATTAAACCCTCTAGAAAAGAATTGCTTGACCAACACGCAACCTTTCTTGCAATTTCATCATCGAGACGCTTCAGTTCCATTTGACGCTGATCTTGCTGGTAGTTCAGGAAACGCCTTCTTGAAGTGTCTAGAAGTTGCAGTTCCTTTACTTTCAGTTCTCTTTTCAAAGCAGTGAGTCTTCACAGCCAAAACAGACAGACACAAGGGAACTTGTACATGTAAAAGGTCAGTACCAAAGAGCACAAACCTGCAGTGCAGTTAGCCGTTAGTTACTGGGAGCTTGTCTCTAACTTAGCTTAGGACAGTTGCTTTCCTTCCTGTAAGTTGTTCAGTTTCCATTTATGAGACAAAATTAAATTCAGACACACACGCATCCTCTAATGGCAATGTCCCCAGTTGAGCTTTGAAGTCCTGTGCACTGTTCCACTTTAATAAACACTAGTTTACTATTGCAACAATCCCAAACTGGAAAGTATTCCTTACAGTAACTGCCAGTGTCCTGGTACCTCTTGCTGCACAAAATTATTCTTAAGTTTAATTGGCAAATATCAAACTCTTTCAAGGAACAAAGCCACAAACTCAAGAACTAGTGTGCAAATAAAGGCTCACTGCCCTCTTTAAAAAACCCTCTGTAGGTTACAGAGGCTTAAGAGACACACTCAAAAACATGGTGGTTAGGGACATGGTTCAGTGTTGGGTTAAGGGTTGGACTTGACCTTAAAGGTCATTTCCAACCTGAATGATTCTGCCATTCTATGATTACTTGATCTAAGAAACTATAGAGATGCTGAAATTCTCTTAAACCTTCACAACTGCAAAATGTACAAACTAACAGTTCAGCTTCATTACTATCACAGCTCTTAGCTCATCAATGGATATATAAAGAAGTCTTTTTCTCTGGATCCACTAGAAGCACAAGAGTGTGTACAGTCAGTGATACCATCAGCAACTCTCATATTTGCAGGGTGAGTCTGCCCACAGTGCAAGACTGAAGCCTTGGTGTGCAAGCACATAGCACTTGTGACTGCTTAAGAGTATTCACAGTCTGAAGAGACCAGGCAAAAGCCTGGGAGACAAAAATACATGACTCGACTTCTAATCTGCTCTATTCCCTCAGGCAAGGCAGTAACACAACCCAGATTGCTTCATTCCCACACTAAAATATGACCCACCAGACCACAGTTTTCCCACATTGTACTTTATACAACTCAGTGGTTACCTCTTCTTTACTCGTGGTTAAAAAACGTAACAGTAGGATACAGCAGCCAGACCCCTAATACCTCCTATATTCCAATACCTCTGCCTCTGTTCTGCCAACTTCTCCTCTTCTTCCAGTAGCATTTTTCGCCTCTGTTCTTCAGCTTCTTGGAGTAATTTCTGCTTCTGATACCAGGCTTCATCTTCTGCCTTCTGTTCCTGGGCTTTAGCCTCTAATTCATGTGCTAACTGTCTACATGGAAGGAGATCACATGTTAACAATTCCAGCCAAGTGTCACAAAATGACTTGACTACTTACAAACTGATGACTGTACTAGCAAAGAACTGCTGAAACGAGATGAGATGAAAGCATATGGCATCCCCTCTGTACTGATGAAGCACGTGAGGAAGAGCTACAATACTGACTGCTGGAGACAACAGGGCATTGCAGACGACTGCAGGTATTTTCTTCCTTGCATTCTTAACAAAAACTAGTTTCTAGAGGTGCCTTGTCATCATGGTACCCACTGACTTCAACAGCAAACTAAGAGCTCCTGGCCCTTCAAATGTTGGACCCTACAAGGTCAACAGAGGTTTAGACTCTAAGTTTCCAAGTTTGGCAACTTGTGGCCCAATATTTTCAAACATGTTTTGTTTAACTTAAAAATGTGTCAAACCAAGTAACTCTCAACCTTTAGCATCTATATAAAGTCATCTTCCTGAATTTTCTTGTGTCTCTACTCAAGCATACACACTACTACAGAAAAAGCCAATTGTGTCCACCTGTCCCTCCCAGTCTGAGACTGTCTTGACCTTTCCCATTAATACCTCTCTCGCAAGTATTCAATTTCCTCCTGTCTGATCCTCTCCCGCTCCTGAGCTTGATAATCCACAATGAACTGGGGATATTTATTAAATACAGGGTACTGTCCTTTCGTAAGTGGCATGAAGTCATCGAGCATTCGCTGTGGATGGATGTCTAGTGGTGTAGCCTCCGTAAGACGATAAGCTTCCTTAATCACTACATTAATGTCCAGGTTGTTACGATGATGAAAGAAATACTGTAAGACAATTGCTTCTGTTTACAGTCTACAAAAGGTTAAGCACTTCAATGCATTTTTACATAAATATATTTATTTTTAGTACACCTATTTGGGAATAATTAGGTAAATCAGCAAGATCTATATTCCAACAGTAAATTTAAAAAGGTTTTATTAAATTATCCCTACAAGTTCATAAAAAAATCACCAGTTCAAATGACTTGAACCAAATATCTTCCAGTGGTGAAAGTACACTCTGGTTCTTTTCTTTCTCTTCAAACAGCAGTTGTGTAAGGGATCTGGAAAGCTAGGTGGCAATTTAGAGTGTCCAACTGCCCACACACAGACACTCCTACCACTGCTCAACCTCCCTCGACTTTTGGTGTTCAACCATGGAGCTTGAAAGTTCACCTTCTTGCAGGACTACTTTTCCTGTCAAAGATCTTACCCACCAGAAAAGTCTCAAACTGGTCACTATTAAACACAGCAATAATTTTATCTGTTTGATGTCAGTCAAATTGCTCATAAGCACATTTTTGAGGTGATACCCTTTGTTTGCATAGAGAGGTGTTTTCATAAGAAAAGTACTCCTCCTCCCATGTGAGGCTGAACATGAGGAAACATTTTCATTTAGCCTCAGAGAACATCCAATAATACTGCCCAATATTGCAAATCTGAAAGCAGGATAATGCAACAACATAACAGAATGATTGTGTATTGTCTCCAGAGGCAGAATTTCATATTAGATGCCCCAAAAGAGAGGTAGAATTACTTTGTGGTGAACTACTGACATCTACAAAATTGCTTTTAGTGGCATTAGAAAGCTTACGAAAGCTTTGAAAGCTCTCATTGCATAAAACTACAGGAAACTGCTCAATGTTTCATTCATTTACTGTATATTGTATGTCAAGTACCACGTGATCTTGTTCAGAAACATTTATTAATTTATTAATGTGGAAATGAAACATCTCCTTCTAACCTCTGTAACAACAGTGTTTTATGTGTCTCACCTGAGACTTACAAAACCATGTGACTGACTTAAGTATGATGTTTACCTCAAAATCCGCTGCCTGACTGCAGTGAAGCAAAGGACCTCTGGAACATATAATGTAGGCAACAGCAACCATTAGGAAGTATGAAGGATGGTTGGAGAAGATATTGTCAAAGACTTTCAGCCATTCTTCTCTTGTTAGAACCTCAGAGAACAGTGTTTCTAGGAGAGGCCAAGCATAAACCTAAATTATTTGGGAAAATTGACAAAATAATCCATTAGTACAATTTCACCATAGCTTTTAAAGAAATAGTATGATTTTTCTTGCCTTATACCAAAAATCTATTGATTTATGAATGAAACAGGAAGTAAATCAGAGCATTTGAAGGCAAGTTTCATCACCAACTATAAACATTAACATGGGGTGATTTATAAATGCATTTCTCACTTCACTGCATTTCTAAATGTTCTGTTTACATTTGGTGAAGCTCAAATCATCCCTAATGATATGCAGGGAGTACAAAATTAATTCATCACACCTACATCCACCTAAAAAATAGGAAGGTACATTTATAATTTGATGAGTGGATTTGCAAGCAATCTGGACTCGAAAGCAAAGAATTTCCAAGAACTACAGTAACATGTATATGAGATTTATGACCATGAACAAGGAAATGCTGCACGAAAGCAATAATATATTCTTTACACTCCTGTATTATTCACTGTTATTTAATGAAAACTCCCTCAAAATATAACTACATCAAAATAAAGGATCAGTGCACCATCATTCACTGCAGTACATTTCTGTACACAAAAGGTGGCTTGAACATTACCTGTGAAGTCACACTGTGTTTTATTAAATGTTGAAGTAGTTCTTTGTCGTGATGTGCCAAAACATTTTCCATCATACTAAGGATATTAACTGGAGGATTGGGAAAATACTCAAACCAGTGTTGACAAAAATTAACTGAAAGAGAATAAAAAGCCCAACACAATCCACTGTAATCCAGAATGACAGCCTCTTGAAAAACCTTAAGGCTATGAGTTTAAGATGTAGCTTCAGCAGACAGCAAAACCTATTTAAGATATTGCCACCTCTTCTCTTTCCTAGCATTTATTCCTAAACCATTCCTACAGCACACTGCTCCTCCAGCTGCACTGGCGTGAGTTTCTGTGTCAGTACACTGTGAACCAGACTGAAGAACCAATCTGGCTCAAATCTAAAATGAAGAAAAGCCTGTATGCTGTGGGACTGAGGCATCAGAGGCAGGTGGGGATACTTAAACCAGCACTTCTGTCTCATGAAACTACAGCCTGGATCAAGGAATTTTTAACAGACTAAGAATAATTTCTGTAAACTTGTATACTTATTCAGTAACAGCATGTGCTTGCAAAGTGGGTATGTGTGCTTGGCAGCTCGTATCTTCTGCAGACTTAGCAGCAGCTGCGACAACTAAATTAAGTTCAAACCTTTCAAATTAGACTGTTTCTTCAGAAAACAGCCACAGAAAGAGTTCAGGCAAATAGCTGGTTTTGAGTTCCCACGTGTTTAGGACAACTGAGCACAGTTAAAACCTTGAAAGAGATCATTCCCTTTCGACTGGGAGAGGCTGACAGGGTGGGGTGGGTGGGTGTGACTACTTGTCCCATGTCTCAGAGGCTTAATTTGGATGATATCATTATGCTAGATACATTTGGGTTTGCTGATTAGACTTCACAAATACTGTTAAAACTGCTAACTTTATGCTAGAAACACTGCAGAAGGCAGTCTAATATCTTGATTTATTTACAGGCAGGTTTTTGTTTTAAGCAGTTGCTCCATATTAATTCCTGGTAATACTTTTAGAAGAGAGCCTGGTGACCTCTTAGGAAACACCTCATTCATTTCACCAGGAAAAGCTATTTTGCATTGGAAACCTTAAACAAGTTGCAGCATATTTGAGTTTCTAAAATCAGTGCTTACCTACTACTGTAGCAACAACTTCAAAGCAGATCAGCTGGTTGTTCTGGAATAATTTTACAAATGGGAATGCTAGCAAGGGCATATAAGGTGTCTCAGCAAAGATAGCAGACCAATGAGCTAGAGCTGATAAAGTCCTGCACACAAGGGCAAACAAAGGTGTAGAAAACATCGTTCCAAAACCAAACAAAAATATAATATGCACTTCAGAACTACAACATCGAAAGATTGTGAACAGAGGATTGTCTGAGTTATCAAAACAAAACTGCATGAGGGCACTCCTATTCCATTTTAGAATTTTCCTTACAGCTGATTCCAGCTATTGGATCTATTTCAGATCACTATCTGAAAATAAAAATCTATAATATTTAAATGGATACAAATACATATTTTACCTCTGTAAAACTCTCAGCAGTTTCCTACTTTTGATGGGATACTCTTTCTGGATATTCACGAATGCACAGTGGGTTCCCTTATCTATTAGGCTGCTGAATGCCAAGTGGTTTTCAGGAAGTTGTAATAAGGAACGCCAAACAAACATCCTGCAATTAACATGCAGCCTTAGTCAAGCAACAGCTCTTTCACAGGCCAGTAAACATAAGCAATTTTATTTTGTGCAAGCCTGAACATGCACAGAAAAAATACCTGTACTTAGCTGGATATTCTCCAAATCCTTTCAGTAAGGCCTGCAGACGTTTCTTGTTTAATCCACCTGGCAGCTCATTCTACAAAACGGAAGCAACAATAAATGTAAGCATTTTCTCTTTCTTTGCACTTTAATCAAGGGTAGTAGCTAAATATTGAAGTTCCTAACATAACATTAAAAAAACCCATGTATTGCTGTCCGTGACATAGTCCTAAGTATTTAAACAACAAAAAGAGATAATTCAAAACATCATTTATCTTCTCCTGAACTCAAAGAACAGCTGCCATGGATTTTAGTCAAAGCAGATCAGACCTAAACTGACTAAACTACATACTATTAAATGATGGATGTAGCAAACCATAAAGAATACTGACATAAGGCATAGATCATATGGTGACACATTACAGGAGGATATATACACACACATATCTGTGTATATATATGTGTGTGTATATATATATGTGAGAATATATATATACATATGAAACAAGTTAAAGACAGACAGAGAAAATGGCACAGTGATGACAGAAGGGAAATAAAACTAACAGTAATACATTTTCTGAGTAATTAATTAAAAAATGAAATGGACTATAGGCAGAGATTTCTGAGGTGCCAGTTTGCTATCAGGGAAGCAGATCAGATCTAGCCAATATTCAAATGTGTCACAAGTTGCTTGTTCAACTTCAGAGGTACCCCAAGCTGACAGGAGACAGCTCTGGCTGTGTCACATCCTATAGGAGTATGGGCTAAACAGAGAGAAGAGGGTGCAAAAACTTCCTTAATCCCCTCTCTGCTCAAATATCCAAGTGCGTAAGTGCCTGACTTTATTCTTTAAAGTAAATGGCAACTAAAATTTAAACACTGCAGACTGGATAACAAAATATTTGCATCTTCTTCCTACCTCTTTATTTTCAAGTGATGTGTTTGCTTGCAGTGTTAGCAATCTGGTTTGAATTTTGCTTCCTCTGGATTTCCAAGGCCCTTCTGACCTTCCTGAAGTCACTTTCATTGTCAGTTTATTTGCTTCTGATGTGCACTTGGACTCATCTTGAACAGCTCTGAACGTGGACGGTGGAGGCTAATATTAAGTGCAAATACCTTGGTTAAAATCTGGTAACACAGATTACATAACGCTATAATTTGTTGTTTACTTTATTATATATGCCACATTTTTTAGTTTGATGGTCATAGGAAGAATAGAAAAACATTTATAACACAAACAAATACATACAGACTGTATCTTCCTGGATGCCAGCGAATAAAACTGCCTGTGAGAAGGTTTATGTAACTTCCAAACCAACTCAAACATCATGTTATTTCCTTGCTTAGCAAACACTACAATATAATTGGGATAGTATAGATGTGTATCATGGACTGTACAGGTTATTTACTTTACTGTGCTTCTCAATGTCATTAAAATACTTTGCATTTCTATAGCACCAGTTAAAAAGAATACAGAAGACCTTTACAAACTTTAATTAGTCTTCAGTGTTAGGCAGGTATTAATTAATTTGACGCCAGAGATTGGGAAAGCAAGTAACGACGTGGATATCCCAGTTCGTGTCAAACAGTCAGCAAAAGTGCAAATGGAATGTGTGTGACATGCTTACACATCCTTCCTCAGCTCCAACTCCATCATTATCCCAAACTGGTTACTGTTTACTTCAAAGACATGGTGATTAAAGATACATGGAATTCTGGATTTAGAAACCTGACTCCCATTAATAAATTACTTTAATAAAATAAGAACTGGTATTTAGAATGCTTGTTATTTAGGAGGGATTAGGAATATGATTGTGCCATAAATGATGGATGCTGGTATCCAATAACACAGTGAGAAGAACAAAATCACAGCAACAAAAACACCATCCAGGCCCACAGTTTAAGAGAGCACTAATTAGTTGCAAAACATTTCCTATAGGAAATGGAACAGAAGCAGCACAATTACACTGTTTCCATCTCCCCCAAAACATCATTACAAAGAGAAATCGATGCATGCAAATTGCTGTAGAAAGAAACACCATCTCCCCCTGCTTCAAACACCAGAAACAGAGTGATATATATACCTTAAAAACACCAAATTACCTGACAGGCTGGAGGACCTATGCAGGAAACTCTGCAAAACACTTTTTCTCTATTTGTATTATTAAGTATGGCACTGTAACACCTGTAGCCTGCAGACTACTGCTGATACAAGAGATATGTAGACAAATACCAACTTTAAGGGGATTTACTGCTGTGTTAAGAAATGTACAACACCCTACCTTATTTCCTTCTTGAGTCAAAGCTTGGACACTGTACAAGTTCAGGCTACCATTGTCCATTACTGATGCAATGTACCGTCCATTGGGGCTTATCGCCGCTGTACTGATTCCCTCCTCAGGACTCCCAATCTCAAAGAGAAGTTCGCATGTTTCTATATTGATAAATCTCATAATATTATCTTGACTTAACACTCCAAGGACCTAAAAGTTAAAAGGATTCATCAATTAATATTGTCAGTGTAAAATGAAGTGGAATACCCAATTCAGCAATGGCATTCCATTAAGCTAAAAGAGCAACTAAGCAAAGATTTAGCAGTGACTTTCCCTTGGTATGGTGCAGGCCCATATCCCCAGTGTTCCCTCAAAGCCCTCAAAGTATAAATGTTAAATCAGCTAACCAAATACTGCTGTCTTAAGCTCACCTGATTGGAGCCCCCATCGAAGCTGTCAGGAAGGAATTCGAGATGACGGACAGCTCGCACCTTCGCAGGCATCTGGATTATTCTTATCAGCTGCTTTGATTCTGAACACCATAGGTGAAGGTGATTCGATTTTCCACCAGCTACAAAAATCTGTCCATCTCTGGATCACAGATGAGGTAAAGTCTCCATCAGCATAATATAATTTAAGCTATCCTTAGCTGAAGAGATTGTACATTTCGTTCTATACCATCAAATCACTTTTGAATCTGCCAATATTCCTGTCATACTCTCCCAAAAGAATAAAATAGCTCCTAAACAATGAAATTTTCTAAGGTAAAGAATAGTTTAAACCTTATTTTAGTGGTCATTAAAAATCAACTTAATTTATTTCAACTGCTATGAGACTATAATAAACACTGCTATTGACCTTTGCTGAAAGTACCAGCCACAGAAGAATTCAAAAGCTTATCACAGCATATGGTCAATACTTCTATAAAATATTACAAATAAAGAAAGAGAACCTGTTTAAAACCACATTTTTGGTAGTCTGCCTTTAGAGTATTCAAAATAGCAATTTACCTGGTAACTGCAAACACCTTATAAAGGAATACAGAACCTTCTACAGGAGTTGGCAACTTGTATTTACAGTGAAGAGTATCAAAATCCCATGCAAAAACAGAATTATCTTTGAAACAGCTGAGAATGGTGTTACTCAATGGAAGAAAAAACACCTGGAAGATATGGAAAAGAAAAAAAAATGGAATGTGTCAAGAGCTACACTTTAAATGGAACCAAAGTGAATGAAAAGTAAAACCTGGCAGGAGGCCACAACAGTGTGGCTATGACAATAACTGCACTGTGCAGCTGCAGTGCAAGGCCTGGATCCCATGGCAGCTGGTCCCACTCCCTGTGACAGCCTGGACAGGAGGCTGCTCTGCCCTGCACTGGGTCTAAACTTGTTGTACCCTTTGCTAAGCCATTTTAACTCACCAAAATGACTATGTTATTAATATCTGTGTTGTTTTTATAACTGCTAAGACTGTATTGTGGAGGTTTCTGATGAGTGCCAGAGAGGAGGCAATATAAACATTGAGAACATGAACCCAGAGCAGGAGAGGATGGGAGACAGGAGCCAGAACTGCTCAGTGTACAACTGCTTGTTGCATCTTCTACAAACTAGCTTCAGCATTCAAATAGTACCAAGAGCCTGCAAATGCACTCTATGAAGCATTAATCTTTAAACTCCTTAGTTTCACATACAACTATTATAAGTAAAAATGTTGTAGAAAGTTCAGGAATGCATTCTCCAACTGTGAAATGCAGATTTTACTGTGAGGATGAATGAAGATGCAAAAAAAAGTCTGTAAACACATTTTTTCCAATTATTCTGAACATGTTTATATGAATCTGTTTCAAAAAGAAAAAAGATTATTTATATTTTGAATGTCATCAGATACATTCAGAGGTTCTATCATGGCAGCAGCACATGCAGCCTCAGAAAATTCTCTGTACTTATAATTTGGAAACTTCAAATGAAAATGTCTTGCCTATCTTTACTACTCACTGGCTGAGATTAACAGTCAGTGCTACAAAGTTCAGAGTTTTAGTCTGAATGGTCTCTTGGGGCCTTGAAAATCTGTAAACCTTTATACATGGGATGAGATTCATCTTAGTGACTACAAGTTGGATGTTCAGGCCAAATTAGTCACTTGACAGTGAGTAAAAGTTACCTGTGGGGAAAGAGCTGCCTCACCTACCAGAGTCATTCATCTTCAGACTGACTGAGCTGTCTGTCCTCCTTCAGGGACCCTGCGCAAGACTAAGCAATTAATTGAGAGCAGATGCCTATTGTGTCATCTGATGAAGTTTAAATTTTGATAAACTGCAGTACTGAACAGCTACTAATTTTCTGCTCTGCCATAGTAAAATACCACAAGATGATCACAAGCAGCTGTTGAATAAGCAGTGATGCTTTGGTCATTGTTGATGTGTTGTCTTCTTTCTCATGTTTCACCTGCTATCTGAACTGTGCAGCTCAGTCTCTGTCTTTTTAGATTATCTTTGTCCTGTACCACCATAACAGAAGACACATGTTGGAGTGCAGCTGGGCTTAGGTAAAGAGGCACCAAAACCACACGAGGCTGGTGTGACACTACTGCACTGGCTCAGACAGCAAGCAAGAATCCAGCTTTGGACACCAAGTGTCAGAGCTGCAGTGTAGTAATAAATCTGACCTTCAATAAATCATAGAATCATAGAATTTTAGGGGTTGGAATGGGCTTACAGATGACCTAGTCCCAAACCCCCCCTTGCCATGGGCAGGGACACCTCCCCACTAGACCAGGATGCTTGATGTCTCACCCAGCCTGGCTCTGAACACTGCCACACAAAGCATCATTATTCTAAAGGAATAATACAGGAAAATGATATCTGCATCACCTGCGTTATGTCCTATCAGAAATGGCAGCACCAAACCAAGAGCAGGCTCTTGATTCCCAAATATGATTTATTATATCAGCCATAATCACTACTGTTTGGATTTAAAGGTTGTTTCCATACTGTAACACTCCCATTCTACCAAATTCCAAGAGCCATTTATCAGTAAGAAGCCCCTGCTCATAGCCTACACAAAGAAAGACACCAAGCAGGAGAAAATTTTTGTCCACTGAAGAAATGCAGCCATCTTTGGAGGGAAGATATTCTAATTATTTTAGCAACATGCACTACACAACAGTTTTAATGAAACAAACAAACCAAAATGTATGCATGACCTTTCACAGTAATTGCTAGGTGACTATTTTAAGCTGGCAGGATTTCTGCCTGACCTAGAACAGGGTAAAGACACCCAAATGAATAGCTTTGTTCTCTGCAAAACCAGCAGGGCTTTTTAGTGACCAGCCTGATGAGAACTTTGGTTTGAAGTGGTGTTTGCAAGACTATTCACTGCAGGGCAGCACGTGTGCAAGCCATGCCCAGGCACTGCGTCAGGACTTTCTGTGGTACTTTTGCCGAAGTGTGACATTTGGTGGCGCAGCCAGACCTGTTTAGAGCAGTGCAACGTTAAGCAAGACCTATTTAAACCACTCCCTGGCACAAACACATCATCCTTCTCATCCTGTGTTGTTCCAGTGTACGTGTCTGTGCAGCAAACTCAAGCAAAGAAACCACCAGGCTGAAAAGCAGCAATTCTTTTTTTTGCTGAGTTACTTTTCAGCCTCATTTGTTCCCACATTCAGTGCTTAGTGTGCACAGACAGGAGAGATGTTTGCAATAAGCAGGTGAGTGGGGCAGGTGGTGATGATTATTTGAAGTTATCATTATGACACCAAAACTGTTTTTTTAACAGCATCCTTAAATCCCAGTATCATTCAGGTTGGAATCAATCTCCAGAGGTCCTCTGAGCCCATGCCAGCTCAAAGCAAGGTCAACCTAGAGGATGGCTCCAACTTCCAGGTTCAACTGCGTTAGTCAAGGTCATATCCAAGCAAATTTTGAGTACCTCTAAAGATGGAGGTTCCTTAAAAGTTTCCAGCAGATCTCTGCAACTACTGAGTCATGATTGCAGTGGTCTGGGTGATGTGATGGGATGATAGTGAAGATGATATGCCCAAAGAATATAGAAAAGATTCAGCTGTATTTTAACGAATATTTACAAGTAATGTGATTTTACTGTGTGGTGTTACTCCTACTGGGGTGTACTTGTTCACCCTATAGCAACTGCTCTTTACTCACCTTCTGTATACCCACAGACTGACGAATATTCAGCTTCCTTTTCCTCTCAAAGGTGTCCAAGTCCCACAGTTGTGCTGTATCAGTGGATGTAGTGATGGCATACTTGCCTGAGCCATGGACAGAGATGGAAGACACTGAAGAATGATGTCCTCTCATCCAACTAACTAGCTCCTTGGTTTCTGCACAAGTTGGTGAAAAACATGAAAAGGACATGAAAGTCACTCACAGTGAAACAACTGCTACTTTAGTTGTATTGCCAACAGTGTGCTGTGAAAGAGACTTTTAAGCAAAACTAGTATATAACCATGTACCACCACAGCCCAACAAACAAGGAACAAAGGCATCAGTCTTCACATAGTTATTAGACTTTAGAGAGGCATAACCTTCTCCTCATCTCCAAGTAACAGATTTTGTAAGTTATTCTCAGTTCTACACAGAAAGAGCTTGCACAGACTTGTGTAATTTAGCCTAACAATCAATCTTAAAAAGTCATGAGCAATGCGATCCGGTAAGTTCAGCATGCCTCACAGAATATCTGATGTGAACACCCACAACAATATCTAGCAGTTGAGACTTAATGTTCTAGTTGGAATTCCCCACTTGTTTTTACTTGTGGACAGTATGTGTGAATGATTACACAGCTATTTACAGGTGCAAGGAAAAAAGGTTTAATGACAACAGGTTATGACTACAGAAAGGCACAGTCAGATAGCAACACCTCTTTAATTCCTTTAGAATCTGAAACATTTTTGTGCTGTACATTGCACACTAAGGAAATGGTTCCACTGACTACATTATCTCCCTCACTACATTGTAATGCATGACCACTAATCTTCCCTCAGCAACCAAACTGTACTTGTGGCATTTACACGTGGGGTGGTTTGTCTGACAGCCCATGGGGTGGTTCCACCTGACCTGCTACTGTGGCATCAAAGATGGGAAATGGCTGTAAAGCAGCTCATAAAGACTAACAGTCAAACTTTCTGCTGTGCTTACAGACAACTGAGTGCTGTGCTTAAAGCTATCATCACCCGAGAAGTGACATGGGATTAAAGTTTGACTTCTAAAGAAAGGGATGGAGCCCAACAACTAACCATAGAATCATAAAATCAACCGGGTTGGAAAAGACCTCCAAGATAATCAAGTCCAACCCTACCATGGTTGCTAGACCATGGCACTAAGTGCCACATCCAGTCTCATCTTAAAAACCTCCAGGGATGGTGAATCCACCACCTCCCTGGGCAGCCCATTCCAATGCCTGATCACTCTCTCCATAAAAAATTTATTCTTAATAACCAACCTAAAACCTCCCCTGCCAGAGCTTGAGTCTGTGCTCTCTTGTCCTACTGCTGGTTGCCTGGGAGAAGAGACAACCCCCACCTGACTCCAACCTCCTGTCAGGGAGTTGTAGAGGGTGATAAGGTCACCCCTGAGACTAAGTCTTATCTAACACACCTCTAAGGACAGTTCACCCAATACCAACTTATCTGAATACCATTTATGTTGGAAAACATTCTTCAGGATGACCTGCTATCTGGAAACAGCATCATATTCACATGCAGTACTCTCTGGAATAATTAAGAAGATTTCTCTACGTGCATCCAAACATCTAAGTTTGGTCTTCCTGTAGTTGAAAGGAAGAGGAAATGCACAGAGGATTTCAGACCTTAACACTGACTTTTTCTCTATTTTGAGGAACATTGTATTACATTAAAATCTTCACAGATAATATCAGACTCAAATCGTAGATGATTCCTACAGCTTTTAAAAATGATTTAAATCCAGATCATATGAGACATTACAACTGCAGTTTTTGATGGGTTAAGATGAATTTATGAAGAATGAACTGTCAATGCCCTTCACCATTTAACTTCTAATCAAGACAGAAGCACACAGCTGGCCCATGAAGTTAATTTTTAGTACTAGATACAGAACTACTTGAATACTCAAAAGTATTGATGTTACTTTTAGTGCATATTGTAAATTTGTTCAAATATTTTACTATAAATATAGTTAAGAACTTGTTCAGTTGCAAACTAACATACTGTCAACTGATTCTGTTTTTATTTTAATAGAGCACCTCATTCTAAGCAACCATATACAGAACTGCTTAAAGAATAGGTAACATACATAACTGATCTGTGCTGGACTTCAGGTAAACAGATGTCTGTGTGACTCCGTGAGAACAAGAAACTCTGGCAAAGCAAAGGCTTCATTTACCCACAAGACTATAACCCACAAGGGCCCAAACATTTCTTTTTGGACAGATGGCATGATATACATAGAGTGATTTTCACTAAAAAAAGACTATCAAAAGATTTAAGATAAAAACTAAAATTATATACATTTTCATGCCAATCCAGATGGCATTTAAGCCTTGAAATTTCTCCTTACCTATGTCAAAGCACTTAATAGAATTATCTGCCAAGGCCACCAGGAACTCTGTCTTCCTGCGAAGATTAAATGCCAAAGCAGTGCAAGCCTGCATTGTACGCTGGACAAGGGTGAACCTATAGAAAATACACATTCAGTTATTACATTAAAGTGAAGTAGTAACTTAATCAGTTTCAATATACTTCACTGAAAGAAAAAAATAAACCAGCTCAAAAGACGGGAGTAAGGAAATCATATCTAATCATAAATCTATAAATCAGTGCTAATATTTTATTACTCAGTAGTGAAAAGCTGAAAGCCTGATCAATGTATTTCTGCAAATGAAAACACCAGGTCTAGCTTATTGTAATTCACGGCTCATTCGTGATCGGTACCAGCCAGAGAGTAACTCCTTGTGGTAACACTTTAGTTCTATGAAATTGCTCTTCAGTTTAGGAGTTTCAGGCCTCTGATCATTTTGAGCAGCTGAACTAATGAAATAATAATTACTGGCTTGTAGTTTCGGCTCTGGGCAAGCTACTATTTCCACATTCATGGGAAAATGAGGGTTAAAGCTGACCTGTGGGATCCTGTCCAGGCAAGTTCCACACCCCTGACTGTTACAGATGTCTCAGACAATTAAAATGTCTTGATAAGAGATATTCTTACCTGTTGCCAATCAAGTCAAAAACATATATATTCCCTTGTTGGTCTGCAGCGAGGAGAGAATCTCCAGAACTGTCAAAAGCCACATTCAGAAAACGTATTGTCCTTGAATGGGACCCCTGGCCACTGTGGATGATGTTCACTATAACTCTGAGAAGAAAGCAAGCAGAGCAACCATGCTTAGAATAATTTTATTATCATGCATTTATCCATGTTACCGGATAAATACATGGTTTTATGGTTTTACAATGCTGATCTCTCATGGTGTTCTATGAAAAATCTTCCATGAAAACCACGTATTTCTAACATAAAAAACATACTACAAAGGAAGTAACTCCTCTGTTGGAAGGTGGTTAGGAGACATGTAAAGCAGATGGGGAAATTCACTGTTCACAACCCTTTTATGTGGCTCCCTGTTACATGATTTTCAATATTGATGAATAACACTAACATATGTCCTGATGTATCACCTACCAATGAATCTGAAAGCCCAGCTCAGCACTCTGCAAGGAACCTGGCCCATCACTACCACCGTAAAGAAACATGCCAGAAAACTGAGAAGCTAAGCATTACTGTAAGAAACCACCCTGAGTGCAGGTGGGGGTACATCAGTTTTAACATCACTTCTTTCCACAGTCTTCAAAAGCACTGAGATTGCTCAGCCTGGAAAAGAGAAGGCTTAGGGGTGACCTAACTGCAGCCTTCCAGTACCTGAAGGGATCTACAGGAAAGATGGAGAGGGACTTTTTACAAGAGCATGTAGTGACAGGACAAGAGGGAATGGCTTCAAACTGAAAGAGAATAGGTTTAGCTTAGACATTAGGAAAACAATCTTTGCAGTGAGAGTGGTGAGGCACTGGGCACAGGTTGCCCAGAGCTGCAGATGCCCCAGCCCTGGAGGTGTTTAAGGCCAGGTTGGATGGAGCTCTGAGTAACCTGGCCCAGTGGAAGATGTCCCTGTTTATGACAGGGGGTTGGAACTAGATGGTCTTTAAGGTCTCTTCCAACCCAAACCACTCTATAATTCTATGAAGAAATCCATAATTATCATTACTCATCTGAGATATTACAGAACAAAAGTTTCTGGTTTTTTACTTCTATCCTTGCACTGTGCTGTCAGCATAAAACAGAGCCAGCTGCAGAAGTGAAGCTCATGTGCAGAATAAGCTGCAAGAGGAAGGTTTTTCCAGGAAGCAGGACATTAAGATACGAAGACCTGCTAATCCTGTTTGGGATTTTTGTCTAACATTAAGCAAGCCAATTGTTTCTATCATAACTTGAACGTAAATTCAGAGGCAAAGTGAGTATTTAAAAGCCTACAGGATATTGGCAGGCTGATTAAAGGCTGCAGAGCACCTGCAGAATACTACAACCGTGGCTCTGCAAGATGCTGATAGCTCTCTGAGACACAGAATGTGCTACCCAGCATGTGCATGCAGCTGTGGGGTAAGTGACAAAGTGTCAGTGGACACCAGGAGGTGAAGGGCCATACAGCCATGGTACAGACTAGAGACAAAACTCATTGCACCTCACTGTTAAGCCCATTCTTTTCTGCAAAAAAAGGGAAGGGCCATAAAAATGACATTAGAAAGATAAGCTATTTTAAAATATAATTAAAATGTAGTGAGATGTGGGGGAAGTTATTACATTAAAGACCTTAAGAAGTGATATGACTTCTGCTTCTACAACCACCCTGACGCTTGACTGCTTATCAGTGCACAGTGTCTCCCATGCCATGCTCAACGCTGCTCTCTGCTTTTCTAAAGTTCCTCTGCCACCAAAATAAGCAGGAGAACAGCGCTGGGAGTTCACGGGGTCGTAACCAGAGCACCCCGGCCAAACACCGCAGGGACACTGAGCACCACTCCTGCTGCTCCTCAGCTCGGGCCAGGCAGTACTTCCAGAGCACCTCACGCTGATTAAACCCTGGGAACTCCCCGTGGCACTTCATTCAGCACAGCTACATCTACC